TTCGCTTAATCCACAATGGGCTTGAGACAATGACGAAGGCCGGCAGGGTCGGAGGTGGCGACCTCTGAACGGGGACCGTAGGCTCGAATCCACGGCAACAGTTTACAGCGGAGATAAGGGACAACCGCCTGTCCCTCATATCCAGTCCGTTCATCAATGTCCTTAACGCAATTCCGAATGCCTCATCACTTCTTTATGCGTCCAACTGTTAATAATACTCAATCAGTTCTAGTTACAACGACAATGCCTAGCATAGTTCGCACTAGTGCGCGTGTTGTACTCAATGTTTCACAGCATTAGAGGCAGTATTCTTTTACCATTTTGCGCGAAAGGGGGTACATGCACTGCATTGCACATTGGTAACGGGAAACGTAGGGGACAGTTGTGTTGAAGCACCACAGCAACGTGCATTAGTATTTCTGCTGTACACTGAAGAAGAATACACAGAAGCACAACGAATATCCATTGCGCAAAGTACCGGCCCCAACTGGTGTCTGTCGCACGTGATTCACCCACGCTCCCTGCCATCAAGTGATCCGTTAGTCCTACGGGTTTCATGGTGCTAACAGTACTGCGAAGTTTCATGGAGTGGCGCATCGCCGAAGCTGCCCCAAAGGCTGCTGGATCGTGGCCTGGAAGACATGACGCAGGAAATTGTGACGGCAGACACTGTTCATTGGCAAACACGGCCCTTGCACCTTGCGAGCAATGGCGTGCGCAGAAATACACGTTATAGTGGCCATTACGGTGAATTTGTCATTCCGAGGCAAAATCTATAGCGGGGGCGTGGTGGAGTGGGTGACAGACCCGTGGCGCTAAAGATATCGTATTTGCCTCGGCGCTGAGATCAGCCAAGAACGCCCGCATCGTTCCCGATCACGGACGATGCGGAACAAGTCATGACTTGTCCCCCAAGAAAAGCTGGACCACGCAGCACGCAGCGGGTATCCGCAGATGGACAGGGCGAAAAGCGTATTTCGGCATCCCATCAGCCAATGCTTGCCGCTATCGAGTGATTTCGTACGTTGACCCATGTCATCAACTCTGATTATCTGGGGACCACATCGCCGGTGCGAAATTGGGGCTGGAAGCCGATATCAGGGGTACAATTTGTCTCGATGCCAGCGCGGACTGTAGTGCGGCATCGAGGTTGCACGGGATGTATCAGTGTTGCGTCCATCTGTCGCCATGCGCGACAGAATCTTTGCCCTGTGCCACCCCTAGGCATGCTGCAACTTCGGGTCAATTCAAAACGCGTGAGCAGAGCCTAAACTGCTGCCTAGTTCTCATCGCTTTTGCCATCGACACCTGCCCGACATCGCCATAAATTAATTTATATTTATCAATATTGGTGTGTTTCATATGGACCAACAGTGAATGAGATCACGCAGTTCACTGTGAAACGCAAGCGCAGCCCCAACTGTCTGTCGTTTTTCAACAATACAGTTTCTTGGCAGATTCAAGGCCGAGACTGGCGCCTTGCAATTGCAATTGCAAATTGCACGGTGGCAAGGGTGCACAGGCATACACTATAGAAATGTCGACGTTGTGGGGACAGATCTTCCTGATGATGTCAGGCCGTTATTCTGCTGGGCGGAGCGACCGCACTTGGGAGAGCAATGCCATCCCATCCCCGCCCCCTGACTGCATGTGCGTCATGTCCTTTCTGCTATCTCGCGCTGCGTGAGATTTTGTTACCCTCGAAGACTTCTGCATCATATGCCATGTGGGAGATGATCACTGCAAGGGAAAATTTCCGGACTGCCGCTGCCTCAAAAGTGGTGTTCGATGTCCGAATTGCACAAGCGGAGATCAAGCTCGTAAATTAGAAAAGCCGCCGAAACAAATTTGAAGCGCCATATCGATATCTACTCGCAGAGCTCTCAAGCGTTCCAAATGATGGTGCCGTTCTTGCGATATGTCAGGAAGAGCTGAAACGCGATTTTTCAGTTTGTCCGGGCATTGGGTGGGGTGCACCACGACTGCCTTGCTCTCAAGAAGAGGTGGATTTATCTGAGCTGTCAGTACGAGAGACGTGCGCTTTGGTGGTTTGGTGTACGCTAAAGATTCGGCTTGATCACGAACAGTATTTGCAAGGACAGGATTGGAGTTCGCTGCAAAATCTGGGATGTTAACAACCGGGTGCAGCTGGTGGCCGAAGGCCAAGAGACACCTTGATGAGTGCAAGAGCATCTACCTTGCAGATTTCCCAAGCTTTTGAAGGCCGCATATACTTATATCAAGCTAGAAAACTCCCTAGATTAAAGCAAACGCGACAGTTGTTGTATACGACACACTAGGAAAAAAAGGGCCAAATAACACTTTTGCGAACACACATAAAACACATTTCATCAAAGTTCTACACGCTGAGAACACAAGAATAACACAAACCCGTAAACTTTGTACACGTTTGAACACGTGTTATTTGGCCCTTTTTTTCCTAGTGACAATTTCATCAGCACGACTCAGCATACTGGAAGACATGATCTCCCAAGAATATGACAGTGATGATGTCAAAATGCTAAAAGGGTGTAACAGGGCATATTTGTTTTCTACAGAAATGTTATCAATGAATTTTGGTGAACTGGGTGGGGACATACCGGAATATGAAAATGGTTTCAATGTAGGATATTGAGGACCTGCATGGAATTGAACAGGGGCATTTTTGAAAAGATTGTAAATGTCATGTTGTATGATGGTGATTAACATGGCAAATATCCACATCAACTTAAAATCAGCCAAAGAATCCAAATGCTATGGCAGAATGATTGACTTAGTTGATTTTTCCAAGTTCTGGTAAGAATTCGACAACGGACACGACTTTTGAGATGGAGGTAGTATATAGTTCTGAACCTTGGGCGCCGTGGTGCGCTATTTGTTTGTTTTGTGTTGGAAAGGAATTATCGGCTCAGCAAGCTTTCAATCCAGTCCACGGTGAGCACGCCCATGGCGATCGGCATGATCGTTGGACATGGGGGGAGCAATGTATAGCGCGTGCATGAATCCGATACACTGACAGGAGTTGGAGGTACTGCGATTGAGGCGAATTTTCGCAGTTGTTCTGCGATTTATCGTATCAATTATGGCCAATTGCGTGATATTTTCACCGCTGCCACTGCAGCGAAAATCTTAGGGGATGCATCCGTGCAGCTGCTGCGGCTCTCTACTGTGCAACACAGATGCGCAGGCACAGCAGATCTTCTAGATGTTCTGCGGATGTGCATATTAGCGCATGCTCTGCCAATGCGAGCACAGAACACATGTGTTGGTTTTAGAGGCAGCACAGGCTCATTAGGAAATAATTATCTAACGGGACCCCTGCGATCAACAATGAAAGATAATTCATGATCATTTCAAAGGCAATGGATCTGGCTGCCTGTCGCCAGTGCACCATTTCAATTTGCACCCGTCCAGAGTCGCACCAATGACCTGATGACTTGCAACCGATGGATTTATAGCTCGTGGAGCAGGCTGTCAATTTTCGATCATTGCTTTGGGCATCGAGGGCAACTCCGTGAGGGATACACTGAGATGCTTGCACTGCTGCAAGTAAGAACCCACCGACCGCCACACAGCGGCACTGCTAAAGAGGAGGCATTCAATTGTCGAGGCGAGTTCCCAGCCTGCTGGCTTTAAATGCCCATTCGCGATCAACGTGGGAGAGCACATATTGTCGTCACAGTACCCGATTCAGTCTGCCGACGTATAAACGATATCTTCCAGATGACTGGTCCAGCAGCACAGGAACATCGCATTGCACAGTTGCCTATGTGCCCATTCAGCCCAAGAGAATCATTGAAATTACCCCAATCGGTCAATTTTCACAGCACGGAATGTGTAAATTGGCACAATGCATCTCTCCTGATACTCCGACATGCTCGATGCGCGTATGTACGCGGTGCCACCCTGCTTTGCAAGCAACCGCAACCCCACGTTGCACGGGTGCAACGAGTGTTGCAAGTACGGCCAGTGCTACAGGGTGCGGTCCTCTGGCCGTTGAAATAAACGGAGATGTTCGGATCCTCGTGTGGATCCACGGTGCCTTTTTGTGGCAAAGTATTGGATGACCTTTCTGGCGGAATCTGCGGAAAGGCCACCTTAGTAACGGTCGCGACATGCACAGATCACAAATATGGAATGGGACAGAGCCGGGGCGCACTGACGCGCTGTCAAGATTATCACAACACGGGTCTGTCTCGGGTTATCCCTCTGGCGGTTGCTGGCCCACCTCCGCGGCACCCGTGGCTGGAAGCGGACCAGATGACAAGGCTCAAATCCGGCGACGCAGTACATGATTTCTTGATGATGCACGTCAGGGCGCTGATCATCCGGAGTGGGGGCCGGTGGGGCTCGAGGGCAATGACTGTCACCTCCGCACCACCCATGTGATGAGCCTTCGAGTCAGGCAACGGGTTGCCGTCAACGTCGCACAACACCTGATCATCGCTATCCTGCTGCCAAATCCGGTTGGGTCGATCGCCGGGGCCCCTGCCTCATAAAAGGGGCGGACGCCGCTTGTTGCTCGCTCAGCCCTCGCGCTCTCGGTAATTAGGGTGGAAGAGGAGAAGGTGGTGGAGAGATCCAAGCCGGGGAGTCGAGTTCCGAAGCAAGCTACCGCCATGAAGAAGGGAATCGCAGCATGCCTCCTGCTGGTGGTGATCGGGGCCGTGATGGTGCAGCACTCTGAGGCCATTCTCAGTGAGTGGGAAGCGGGGGGCGGCGCAGAGGCGGCCGGCTGGCTTTGTTCACGCGGGGGACTTGGGATGTCTGCGGGGCCTCTGTCCTGGGCGCAGCATGGATGGGCGTGCGGCTGCGCAGCTCCCCAGCTGTATGCATGAGGGTGGAAGCTGTGCCGAATTGCGATTCGCACCCCGCGGGACGTTCCTGCTGGACGATTGCAGCCTTGGGGGCGATAATGCGCATAAGATTCCTCGTCGTGCGGCTGGCGCTCGGCACAAGCAGGGGATTCGGTTCGCGGCGGGTAGTCGCGCCGCAACCCCATGCGGCGCACCGAATTGCGGAGGGCGCCCCCATGTGGACGGTTGAAATTTGAGATTTGCATGGATGCCGCCGCCGCGCGGATCAAGCGAATCGCCGCAATTTGCCGAGCTCCGCGGCTGTCCTCCGCCCTCGCGCAACAGCTGGGGCGCAAGGCGCCCAAACTTACGTCGTTGTGCGGCGGTGCGTGGCAATCGCGTTGACCGGAAGATTTGACTATGGAGCTTGACCTTACGATGGCGGGGGGGGCCTCCGAGGATCCCATGCGCGGGTCATGGGATCACGGACGATCGCAGCTGTGGTGAGCTGTGGTGAGCGCGCTCGCCCTCGGCGTGCGCGAATCCGTGTTGGCGCGGCTGCCCCGCCCCCGCGCGGGTCTGTTTGCTGGGCGTCCTGGCCGACTTGGCTGACCCGAACTTGTCTTTCCGTTTTGCAGTCAAGGCCCTGCTGCTCTCGAAGCTGCTGGGGAAGAAGAAGGTCGCCCCCACCGTGGTGCCCAAGGTCATCGCCAAGCCGGCTGCCGTCGCCAGGGTGACTGGAGCCGGGAAACCGGTGTATCCGCCGCCGATGCCCGGACATTACGAGGTGCGCATGCTCTCTGCACGGGTCCGCAGTCCGCATCGCCTCGCGTGTGAATTCTCTGAACAGCACAGCTGTGGCCCGCGTTTGTGGAGCGTGCACAGGGATGTGCTCTGGAGGGCGAAGCCGAAATGGCTGTTGCAATGTCGCCGCCCTCGCGTGCTCCAGTGCCGGATGCCGATATCAAACATAACAAAATCGCGATCGTTCCAGCGAGGGTGAACCATTCCGCGCGGGAGCGCAAATCAAGACATTGTCTGATCGCGAAATCGCGCTGGATCTCATGCTGCCTGTGCTACTCGCAGACTGCCGCCGCCACCAAGACCGCCCTCCTGGGCTCCGCCGTGGACGCCGCAGGCACGACGGCCACGGCCGTCGTCGACGCCAAGACCAGTGTCGCCAAGACCGGCGTGTCGGCCCTTGGCACCGGCAAGGGCCTCATCGGCAGCACCATCGACAAGCTCCTCTCCGGCTAGATCCGCAGCCCAGTGCTGGAGCGGCAGAGGAGAGTTTGAGCTTTTGGGTTAGGGATTGCCGAGTGGGAGATGCAGACCGCAGAGCCGACGGGCAATAACATCAGCGCACGCTAGTATGGATTACGGCACTTTGTTGTTGCCGAGCTTCGCGCTCGCGCACGTCATGTGAGGCACCCACCGGCATTTAGCTATTCGTGTTTTGCTGGGGGGAGTGGAGAGGGATGTTGGATGTTGGCACCCGTTGCCCTCAGAAACTCAACTGTGTCTCAATTGGTTGGACCGTGGGTTTTCAACAACCGACTCCGTCTCATTATAAATAAACCGCGTCAAGCACCGTTTTCGCGCCCGCGGCAGAAGTGGAACAGGACAGCGACACCCGTCGAGCCAATTCTCAGTGTACTTGTTGAAAAGACCGACGCAATCATTGCTAATGTCCAGAAAACTCGTCGCAGCTGGTGGGATGCCGGCAATGGCAGCTGGACGCCTTGCCCGCTGCGTCGCGAGCTACTCATTGCCTTGGCTGTCAATCTGTAATTTGGGTTTTACTGACACTGACAGCTGCCTTCAGTCCCCGAACAGAACTGTTTGTAGCCCGCACAGCATCATTATGGTTCATCTGAAGCGGCCGCAAAGCGGGAATTGTCGCGAACACGTCCAGTATCCATATTCTGCGCTCTTGCATGCCGCTCACGGCTCCCAAAGTTCGTAGTATCCAAGAAAGCCCCAATGATGTACCCGACGAAGCCTCCGCGTTCCAGATATCTAAATATTTGCGCCCGCTCGAGTGGCAAACTGCTTATTAAAACGGCCCCAATATTTGAACACCAAGCACTGCGGCAAGAAGGCCCCAATGATATGCCCGACGATGCGTCCGCGTTCCAGAAATCTGAATATTGGCGCCCGCTCAAGTGGCAAACTGCTTATTAAAACGTCCCTAATATTTGGACAACCACTGTGGCAAGAGAAGTGAAGTCTATAAGGGGGTTTGTCCATCACTTGACGCCATGACGGAGCATTTCGCCGGGACGCCGTCTCTAGGATGGATTCAACCACGCATCAGACCCTGCCTAAACTGGGAATAGCCCCCACCAGCCCACAAGTTATGTGGGCGGCCACCAAGTACATGATCGATAAGCCCTGTTTTTATAGCGGCGATGGTGAACTTGATGATGAAGGGATCACAGACACCGGCACACAAGGATCATCGCCCGTCACCAGCCGCGGCATTGGCTGCCGCATCGCTGGACTAGTTTAAACGTCTTCGCCACGCGCCCTTTACTGAACAAGCAACATGCCGGTGCTGGCCACATTGACTGTAAAACCACTACCCACATTAGCGCGCCCTGCGTATTCTTTACCTTCCCAGCCTGCGCAACTTGCCCCGTCTGTCCCTAACCGATCTCGGCGCACTGTCAATTGCTCCAGACAGCAAAAGATTGGCTAGCACATCGACGCCTTGGTGTCCCCACTATAGTCCCCACTTTAGCTAAAGACAACTTTAAACGCTCTAGCTGTGCCGCTGCCCAGTTCAATAGCCACATTTTGCTCGAAACCAACGCGATCTGCAGCCTGTCAGCCTCAAAATGTGCAAGGCGATCGATTGGGTGAGCAGGGAGCACAAAGCAGGGTTCGCACCGAACTCTTATCCCACGGAGTACCTCTCATTTGCTTAAGCTAGACATGGTCAACACTGGGAGGCTTATATTTGATCCGCATTCAGCTTTACGTTGGGTGATTTCGAATCGAGGGAACTTCCCTCTTCAATTCTGCACCAATATCTTTTGTTTCCTATGGCAGTTTGCCACCGTGGTGGCCATGGCACATGAAATATGTGATGTGGTGGCTTGGACTGAGATTATTTGACTTGCTCCTTGGTGCCCATTGTCATCTTTCAGCCTGAAGTGGAACACCTGGACTTTTGTATAGACTTGCTTACTCGCCCCCCTCTGTCTGCTACCCAAAAATATAATCAAGGGGCAAAATGAGTGCGCCGAGGGGCTGATCTCGCAAAGGGGCGTTAAGGCGTAGGGCGGCCGCCAGAAGCCACAGCTCACTCGCGCAAGCTGCGAATCTGATACCCAGCAAGAGCGAAGCACAATCAAGCGTTGCACTGGCGAGGTCTCACTGCGCAGGCGGCTAGCCACCCAGAGGGGTTCGTTTTTGTGTTTCCACTTACCCGCGACTTCAAGGACTTCGATCCTGTCAGAGTTCTAGAACTGTACAAGATCTTGTACTAGCGAGTGGTGGGAGTCGTCCCTCTCAATCACTGATCACAAGTTGATGGCATGAATGGTCACCACTTACATGTGGTGCTGTTGGGCCGTCCCCTCGACTGACGGGCATGGCTCCCATCTGTTCCGGATCAGTGCCAGACCAATAGTCAGGGGTCAAGGCAAACCGTCTTGGAATGGATGAAGAGCACCGCTGGGCTTGCCATGGCAATTGAGAGCCAAGGCGGACGGAGGCAGTGGGATTTGGGCGGGGTTGCGTGATAGGATGGAAGTGCAGAACATGCAGCATGAAGGCAATTGGTCTATTGCCAAGACAAGCGTTCGTTTGCTCAAGTCAAGATGCACTCATTCATGGGCACTGAGGTAGCCATCAGCTTCCTATTTCGCCCGAGCAAAGCAGTATCTATGATCAGTTCAGTGAAATCTAATGTTAAACACAAACAAAGCCTGTGAATCTATTAACTCCTAACGCCAAAAAGCGATTGTCTCTGGTCGGCGCGGTTCATCAGTGGCTTTCGGAGTGCCGCGTCTACGGATCGCGCAAACCGTACAACTGCCCTGCGTCCCGCTCAGGGTGCTTCCGACCATAGACTGAGGCCGCTGGGCGAAATTCAATGTGATGATAGCGCTGCGTCCCGCGTTTCGCCTTCGTCGACTTCCAGCGGCCGGCACCCCGGACGGACGGCGAGCAGCCGGGCGGCCGAAGCGAGCGGGGCGCCGCACCGACAGCTGGACGGCCGCGCGCGAGGGCGCCATCGGTGCTGACAGCCCGGCCAGCCGGGGCCGGGCCACGCACCTGGGAGCCCACCCTTGGCGTAAGTGCCCTTCCCTTGTGGCTTCGCGGTCGGTCCCCGCTCGTGAATGCCTGGAACGAAATCGGGCCGCAATGGGGATGTCCGTTGGCTTGTGTGACGCGTGGACATCGTAATCTGTGGGTGGCTGGAAGGGCGGGCGCATGGCGTGTGCCCGCCAGCTGTGCCTTGGGTTGCGTGTTGTGCCGAGAGTGTCCGCATCGATGGCGCGCTCGTCCCTCTGCGACGCTGCGCTTCACTGGACTGATGAGCTTGCTGCTCGTTGCTGCTGAGCAGATGTTGTCTCTGCCGCGCTGGAGCGCCGTATTGCTGTGGCTGTTGCTCGGTGCGGCGGCATTCCCTGCGGTCCTGGTGGGTTGTTGGCCACGCTTTGGTCTGATGGCCATGTCAGGGAACTGTTGTTGCGATAGGGCTAGGCACATTTGATGCTGTTTGGCTGCAATCTGTGCGCCCTTTTCACGTGTTTGGAGACACACCAGCCGTATTGCCTGCATTGTGTGTGCTCCACGAAACAGAGATGGTGTGGTGCCTGTGCGCTTGGATTCCCTTGAAACTGTCTTCAATGCCAGCATCCAGCCTCTGATGGGGAATTGCTGCAGGATGTGGTGCTGAACCAGATAACACTTTCAGAAGAACAATCCGTCTTCTGCCACAGCTGTGTTTGCAGAATATGTGTAAGCTGCCTCTGAAGAGAATCACCAAGCTGGGTTTCCTTGCTTTCAGCATCAGGGTTCGCATCGTCGGTACTGTTGCTTTTAAAGAGGCTGCATACTCGAGTGTCATGAAGCAGACATTGGTGTTCCAGGATGCCGCTGCTTTTGCAATTACTGACAAGTGCTTCTGAGAAGATCCACACTTTGCTGAGATGTACTAGCATGACTTGTGCCAATGACCAATGCATTGTAAGTGAGCCAAGGTCCGTCATAACAGGGCCAGCAAGGAGATTTGGCATGGGAGAGAATGGCAGAAGCTCTAGACCAGTTGTCAACAATGAATTGCAGGGGCAGGATATTGTGCTTGGCATTTCATCTGGCTGAATGTTTGAGAGTGGCCACCGAGCAACAGTTGCGATTGGCAATGTGCAATAGAATGTTGATATGACCACATTGTCCTCTTGGCAGCCACAAGGCATGGTGTCCAATTCCCTCACAGTGTGCTGATGGGACTGTCCCTTGCTCGAGACTCCAGTCTGTTGACTATATCCAACATGTGACATCGCAATAAATAGTGGGTAAGGATTGACAGACGGCTTGTGGGCATGGAGGGCATTATTGTAAATGGATGGAACTTGTGTGAGCACGCAAGATTCAATCTTTTCTGTGGTGTACACACAATCTTGTGGTGATTGGTCTGTGTGGCGGTGTCCATCATTGAGTGGTGCTGTTTCTTTGGGATCACAGGGAAGCGCAGCTGCTTCAAGAGCTCGCTATCCTTATGCTGTATCAATACAATTTGGGCATCCACGAGGTCACAGTTGCAGTGGAGTGCTGGTCAGCAAGCAATGGGTCCTGACATCAGCGACATGTGCTCAAAGACTGCAGACAAATCGAAACCCTGCTGTCTACGTGGGAGCTTTCAATCTTGCTTCAGTTGACATGGATGATGGTGTGCAGGTGGGTTGCATGTTTTGGTTTGAACTGTTGCAATAGAATGACATCTTTGGACAGGTAAGTTGGGTTGGTACCTGAACTTGCATTTGGGGTTGCCTTTTGAGTTATGTCTTGGGTGTAGGATAAGTTGATACTCTGTTTCCGAGCTTGTCTTTCTCAGCCTGTGCCTGTGTTGATGTTTCTGCAGGTCCGCAATTTCACAAAGGTGTTCCTGCATCCCCGGTGGGATGACAATAATAAAAATGTCGACAATGTTGCCTACAACATTGCCATGATTCTGCTTGATGAAGCGATCGTCAATGTAACAGTCCCACTGCTTGCAAATGGCACTCTGAGTTTTAACGATGGCCAGCGGTTTCCCACCATTGGGTGGGGCCCCATCGACGACAGTATCTTTTCAGACTTGCCAGAGGAGCTGCAGGAGACAGAGCTGGCTTGGTTGAGAAACGATCAGTGTCAGAGAGGATTCCATGTCTTGGAGGACCAGGGATGCCCGATAACTGGATCAGGGAGGATTGTGAGTAAGATGCTGTGCGCCTGGGGAGGGGATGGTGTTGACCCGTGCTCAGGTGCGTGAGCATCTTGCACAGGGCAGGGTTGGGAGCCAGCCATGAAAGGACAGGCTTCCAAGCTTGGGTGGTTTCATCTGTGACGCGGCACACAAGTTGCCAAAGGCTGTGTTGTGTGGCTTTTGTGAATGAATATTCCACAATGCTGTATCTGGCATGAGGTTATGCACGAGCCGCAAGATGGTGGGCAGGTCACACTGTTTAGGACAGCAATGGACAACAGACAGGTGGCCACACAGGGAGGTGCAGGGTTGTGTTGGAAGTGAAAACCCATATGCTTCGTTTGAGTGTGCGATTTTTCATTGTCAGATTATTCCTAGCTTATGTGCTTGGGTTGCCCCTTATATTGTTTGGTGGCTTGGCAGGTGTTATGTACCAGGACAGGATTTTCCTGGTTTGCAGCCTAATGTTCGACTGTCGTCGTGTTGGAACAGGGTTGTGTGAGACCGGGGCACCCTTGCTGTACGTGGACACCAGTGTGAGAATTCTCAGTGAAGGTGATCCCACCACCGACACTGTTGTTGGCATTTTTACATCTCAGATGGTAATCTGCCGACCAGACGTTCCACTGGTTTATGTGTCGGTTGGCGAGTTCTTTGGCTGGATCGGAGAAGTTCAGGTAATTGGCTTTCGTTCGTGGATATCTTCAGACTCTGGTAATGTACGTGCTGAACTGCACAGTCACGCCAGTGGGCCAGCACGTCGGGTGGCCCTTGACCCCTCCTGCACTGTGGTCAGTGCTGTTTCAATATGATATCATTAGAAGCCAAACCGTTCGCTAGCATCCTTGTTCTTGTTCTTTCAGGTGTGTTTGAGCCTGATGCTCTCTGTGTTGTGCTCTCCAGATTTTGACAGAGGAAGACGATGTCGATGTGGCTAAAATAGCAGTGGTGAGTGCAGGCTCAGTTGTGGGCATCATTGCTGTGATTGCAGCATTGCTTTGGTGGAGAAGCAGGAGGCGGGGTGACCACCTTCCAGTGAGCGTTTTGGAAGTTGGGGAGGGGAAAGAGGGTTGGCCTGGCATGGTGACAGGCAAACCTGCCAACAGTTCCAACGTTTCAGGGACAGTGGGTGATACCATGGTCAGCGAGAAGAGCCCATTTGAAGTTGGCAGGCAGGATGTGCAATGGAAGTGGCATAAGGAGCAGTACAGCTTCTTTGTACTGAGCAGGTGGATGGAAGGCACTGTCGATGTGTACGAAAACCAGGTGCTGGGACGTGGTGCATCGAGCATTGCGAAGAAGGGCATGTGGGATGGCACAGAGGTTGCGGTGCGCTTCTCAGAGGCCTCCAGCCTTGAAAAGGAGGCGCAAGTGCTGGAGGAAGTGCGCAAGTTGGAGCATGACAACATCATCAAGATCTTTGGTGTGAATCCTTCCGCTAGGAGTACCGGACGCTATGGGAGCTTCATTGTCATGGAGATGATGCACTGCAGTCTGCGACAAGTGCTGCAAGATCCCTTTTGTGTCATGTCGTTGACGTACTTGCAGCTGGTGGAGGTGCTCCTGGAAGTTGCCAGAGGCCTTGTTGCTCTACACACTTTGCGCCCGCCAGTGACCCATGGGGACGTGAAGCCAGGCAACATTCTGCTGTCAGCCAGAAAATTGGATGGCAGGCTCAAACTTGCTGCAAAGATTTCCGATTTCGACTGTTCCAGGCAGAGAGCTGGGGGCCATGTGTCGAATAGACTCATGGGAACACGTGGATACATTGCTCCAGAGCTGTACTGGACCGCCCAGGCCTCCAATGTCGATGGTGAGAAACTGGACGTGTATGCACTGGGCATTGTTATGCTGGACTGTGTTGGGGTGGGGGGAGGCAGGGCAGCAGATGACCCATCTGGAATGGCCCAGTGTTGCCCAAAAGAGATTTTGGACTTGGTGCATGAATGCGTGCATGAAGATGCCAGGAGTCGCTGTGCCCTTGGGGATGCTATGAACAGGCTGCAGGCTTTGTTGGACGACGTGCGACCATGGTCCGAGGGCAGAGTGAAAAGAAAGCTGTCTGACCTCCTTGAGCATGCAACACAGGGAGGGCCGTCCATGGCGAATGATGGCAATGCTACTGCCTTCAGCGACTGTGGAATGGCGTACAGAGACCTGCTAGGGATGTTCATTGCCATAGTTCAAGAGCTGAAAGTGGTTGCTGTATCCGAAGCAGCATCACTGGAAGCCAGTCAAATAGTGTTACAAAAAAGGGAGGGTAGCTGCTACAGAGCGATGGTGATGGCTGGGTGCTTGAGCGACAGTGACGCTGCCAATAATGCCAATGGCAACAGTGCACAAGCCCCAGGGGATTCCATACGTGTGCTTGGGGGTTTCATTTGGACGTTGTTGAGCAAGGGCCACCAATCTGGCATGTGCGCTTTGGAGAAAACAATGGGTGCACATCCAGACGAGCTTGTTGACTTTGTTTCGAAACTGCGTGGTTGGGAAGTTGCTGTGTCTACAGAACAGTTGCACGGTGATTGCGACAGTGTTTCCAAGGAGTTGATTTCCTTGCAGTCTAGAGAATGGGCGCGGAGCGGAGTGAGCTGTGAGGACTACTGACTTTCCTTTCTGATCGGTGTAAGGAGCGTTTCCCATACACGGGCCTCATGGGCCAGAAACAAGATAAACATCATTCCATCTCATTTCCCTGCATTTCCAATTAGAATCGCAACTGCCGAGCTCACATGGCAGACCCAATGTCGCCACACTGTGCGCACCTCGAGTGTGACTCGCTGTGCTTCGCAGTTGAGGTTGCAGGGCGAGTTTGCGCTGGCTACTTCATTAATGGCTCACTACAACCGCCTCATTATGGGCCCAGAGAGGAGGGCCGTTGCTCGTATGCCAATGCGAGATGTTGAGCTTGTGGCCCTTCAATCTGCGCAAATCGGCCTGGGGTCTTTCTCGGCGCAGGCTGACTCACCCTGTGCCACGGACTAGCATGTGATATGAGCAACATCGTCCCTCACTTGGAAAGAATGAATGCGTGCACGCACTGTGGGTGTGCCTGCGGGTTGAACGCCAAAGCAGCTATCTATCTGCACTCCATACAGCGCACCCGGGTGGCGCAGGTACAGGCGAGAATTTAGTCCAAGGCAAAGGCGTCATCAAATTTCCATGCTGTATGCCCTGTTGACCGCCAGTGGCAGCGGCGTGGGGTGCCCGACATCGTTTGAAGTTGCTGCTGGACGGCTCGCACGCAGACAGACACTCATGAGTGAGTGATCACCGGCATGAAAGCGTACGCGTCACGTGATTTCGATCCTGGGTTGACGCGTATGGAATTGCTGGCAGCCGTGTATCAATATAATTTCGCCTACTGAACAGCATCGCCTGATCCCAACTGTGCTTTGGACCAACTACGGTTTGTTGTGTGTGTTGCTGAATGCGCCATCGATGTTTCCGATGACGTTTCCGAGCCTGTGGTTATGTTGCACATTTGCGCATTGTTCAATTTGTAACAATGGTTCGTCCCCATCCGGCGGCCAAAACAAACCGAACGCGGTTTCTGCACGGTAGACTGGCTTCCCAGCATGCCTCTGCACGTGCTGCAATCGCTCAGTGCTCCTACAGATGATCCTGTTTGTCCCATTCAATGCCCATGACTCATCGCCGGCACGCCAAAGGGGGACAAATCTTCCCAGGGTGTGAGCAGCAGATGCGAGCTTGCTGCGCTCTCCAGCTATTGCCCATCTGCCACGCTGTCATCGTTCAGTTCCTCGATAGCGCGCGGTGTTGTCTCTCAGCTTGAAGCCGCCGCGGCGGTCTGGCATCACTTAAAAGGCTGGGCGCTCGGGGAGCTTTGATTGAACATGCGATACTGCAGCGAACACAAAGGGTGAACCAATGAGAATACGGTGAATGAAACGTGTCCATCGTTGCATAAACGAGGCAGGCTGGGCCCACATTGCCTCAGCCTCGCCTCTGCAAAGAGGACTTGGCCACTGCCTGTCGAACGCCTTGCGAAAGCTGAAACCGTCTTGTGCAATGCATGGGCTGTGGTTAAATGCGCAGCAGTTTGACCCATCTGTCGGAGCAGGTCGTGGGGGCATCGAGCCCGTGTCCAGTGTCCTCACGCCATTCTCACACCGGCATCCCTTTGCTGTGTTGAGAGACCGGCAGCGGATATGTGGAGGATTTGACATTCAAGGTGCATTCAAGCTAAGGATTTGGGTTGCTGGAACAGAAGAGGAGCAGGCTACGCGGTAAATAGACTAACGGCGCCAACGGGGCACAGGGAAGCTAAGCGTGGTCTTGATTGTGTCTCCTGGGACTTTGCCAGCTCGGGCGATGGGCACCTCTATACATCGACTAGATCCACCCTCACGCACGCCCTCGAACTTAAGCTCACAGCCAAACTGCCGCTGCTGACGACTGAAATGTCGCCTTTGACACCCAACTTCACATGTTGTGCGGAGACATGTCCGGTTCAGCATACGTAACGCGCCTGCAGGAAAGAGGGAAGGCCGGAAACGAACCCATCACCCCTCCATCACGTTTCCTGATTCTGTCCGCATAGCTAGCTTGCATGTTCCTTGTGCACTTGCTATAGACAGCCTTTTTTGGCACGCGACTGCGCAATAGGTCATGAACGTAGGTTGCTGCACTTTCGCTGAGGAACTTGACCTGGGGACTATTTCGGCATTGTGATCCCCCCTCGCTTCCCCCTTCTGATTCTGCTGCTAGAGCGCCAGCTTTTGTGCCATTGCTGGTGGGAAGATGTTGCCTATTTGAGGGTTACCTTGATCTCTCTCGCTTCCTGGCAAATTGCGAGTCCACCGCACCAGAAGTAGACGCAGCAGTCGCTGCACGGCTCCTCAGGCAGATTGTACTTTGCGCGGAGTTCCGTTCGGAAAGCTCCGCCGAAAACTGAGCAAACAAACTCAGCAGTGAAATGTCATTCCATTGTCCATTGGTGCATGAATTAAATTAGCAGAAGATCTGCACAATGCACTTTGGTGTGCGTTTTGCAGCGGCATAAGCAACTCTGCGCTGCGCAGCGATAATGTAATGTGTATTTTAGACTGTACGCTCATCAGTCTGCCAGAGAAAAGCTGAATTGGATGGATCCCGTTTCACACCAATACACCATTCATATTGCTGCAAAACATTGAATATCTAGATAATTGATTGGCACTGGTTCCTAGGGGCGAAGCAAGGAGCTCACGGATACCTCGATGCTTGACACATAATATCTCTTGACTTGTGGGATCTGGACCGTACAATACGTACCACAAAGCTGGATATTCAGGTACTTGAGAATCGCTATGAAATTGGTTAAAGGATTCGGAAAAGCAGAGCGGCGACTGGGTCATCCGGCAGAAGTTTGGAAATGCTTGGTGCCATGCAGCCCGGAGGCGTCAGCCACACAGCGGCACAGCTGCAGACGCCTCACTCATCGACTGTGGAATCTCAGGCAACTACGCGGAGCACAGCGCGCCTCCCAGAACTTACGACACGCGCAATTTGAGCAGAAGGCCATCAAGCAGCAGCCGCTGCAGAAACCATCCCCTCGAATCTTTTGCACATTGTCGCCATACAGACAGCACGGAAGCAACATGCCGTAGCAGCCTGCAAAGTGCGCCGGAAAGAGGGCCCGACGGTCAGAGGCGCTACGGTCTGGAGGTCGCGGCTGGTGGCCGACGGGTCAGGAAACTGGGCGCCGCGTTGGTGGCACTTCGACCGCCGTCTCACATATCCCGCAGTCCTCGCAGCAGCCGCAAAGGCCTGTTCTCCATTGATTGGGCGCGGCCATTGTACGGTGCCCCGGCCGCTGCTATTCGGCCGTGCGTTCAAGGGGGCGACGCGGCCAGAGTGCGGAACTCGAGGGGGTCAGGGTCGTCAGCGGCGCAGAAACAACAGCCAATGGCGTGCCCGTCAGCGCGCACGTTTGGCTTTGTCAGAATCTGAAATTGCCTTTCGGCAAATTGTCTTTCAATTATCTGCTAATTGCATTGCTGGGAATATGAACAATTTACTGTGCTGTGCTGATTGGTTTGACGAATTGCTGTAATAAGACGCATCTTGGAAACGCGGACACAAGCGTAATGCTAGGGGCGTTAGTTCTTTTGGGTTTGAATCAGGGTTCAAGCAGAAACGGTTGGTAAGCGGGGAAGGTGGACCTATATCTCGCCGAGGAGATGTGGCTTGAGAGGCCCACGCGACCCACCCATCTTGGCGTGCGGACACCGTGATCCCTTAACGAAAGGGCGAGTCCCGCTGGGTGGACATGGCTGAATGCTCTGTCGGAGAACAGTTGCACATCCTGAATATACATGTCCAGGACATGGGCATACATCCTGGGACCTGCCCGTATCCTCGCCCAACATCCTCGCCATATCCAGGAAATGGAGGCCCCCATATCAAAGACATGGAGAGTTCACGTCCAGGACATGTCCTGGAAGTGAACTCTCATGTACATGGCTTATCCTGGGCACGTAGTTCCAGAATACGGTGCCCATATCACTTCGATATCCAGGAAATGGGCCTTACTCCGACGTCCTGGTCACAGGCCATTCAGCTACGAATGGCGCTCATCCCCTGGTGTGTGCATTTGGAAGGGCACCCATGGGTGATGGGGACTATGGCTCGCCACCGCCTGACCATTTAACACCCTCCAGTGGGTACACTATTGCGATGCGGATACAAGCAAGGCACCATTGGAGTCGCGGTGCATGCATTTGGAGGCGGATACAGTTGGCTCGGTGATTGGGGTGGCCCACGCATTGGACTTGTGTTGCCAAATCGGCCTAGTGTGGCCTGTGATGTAATTTTGGCCTCGCCCATTCGCCATGGACGGTCTATACAATTCCTTCTCCAGACCGGGGAAGCATCCACCGCCCTGCAATCCCAAGCTGCAATAAGTGCAATACCGCATTGGAACCTATAGTATCTGTCCACGTCCGCCCATCTGCGCAGGTCCTCCTGCTGGCCAAGCAATTCCTAGGCGCATTTGCACATTCGGCTACGTTAACTCCAGCTAAACTGATTCAAGCCCGAACAATGCTGTCACGGCGCTGAGGTCGGGAAGAGAAGTGCCCAGATTTTTGGTTGACAGACTGTATGTACGGGGCAACTTCGTCGAAGGGCACCTCCTCTTCGGACTTTCGATCCGTCAGATTCTTCACCCTCACGGTTTCGCTTGAAGACAGCCGCTGCTCGTTGATGGTCACTAACCAGCGCATTCCCCTCGACATTGCGTATTCATAGTGCTCCGTCATGCTTGGCGAAACTTTGTGAATCATTTCTGCCTTCAATCCAGCGGCCCACAGCTGAGCCACCAGTTCCATTCTGACCTGCACCCACAAGGCACGTTGAGCACACAAGGCGTTGCAGCGACTCCCAACACTGCCATTAGCATCTGCTGACAGAAGGTTCTTTGAAGTACGTCCCAACCGGGCAGTTTGAGTTCCAATTGGACTGCGAAAACTCACGATTCATGAAGGCCAATGGAGACCTTTATCTGTTCCCTCAAGTGCGACTGTCAGTGAATCGCATTTATCCAACTGCATTGGACAAACAGCCCCGCACCTTCAAGGAGGACGCCCCGCCGCCTCGAGAGCTCACTAGGACATCTGCAGACGAAACTGAAGCCCCAGAGTCGTGGCACTTTCTGAAGCGCACAAAATGGTCCAAGTTGAGCGTGGCTCCAACACCTCCGAAAGGGGAGGAACCGCTCGGCGCTCTTCCGGAAGACCACAGGGCGTCCAACAGCTTGTCATACCTGCACACGATAGCATTAGCAGGCCAAGATGCTGTGCAGTTGGACAAACTGCCTGGCATGGACCAAGCACATTGGCAGACGCCAAATAGTACGGCAACAGCCCTTCCTAAGACTCCTGCACAGCCCATTGCTGAAGGTCCGAATAAGAAGTGAACAATCACCACATAGTCTCTGGCTTTCGTTCCTTGCTGCACAGAGAACAAGTTGGGGAGGTCTGCTTCTCCTGTACTGGCACACTGCTCGTTCTACAGCACGGATTAGGTGCCACTATTGGAAGATTGCCACTCATGAACATGGTAATCCACGCAGCACCCCATTTGCCTGTTGCTGTAAGGGTTTGCAGCATTCCCTTGCACCATCGCCAAGTAATGAGTCGCACAATTCGACACCAACACAGAAATGTTGAGTACCGCAACGCCACGCCCAAGAGGAGATCAAGGGCAACACAGCCAGAACAAAACAAACAAAAGGTCAACAGAACAAATCTCCTGTCTGGGATAGAAAGTCTGAGGCACTGCTGCTTACCTCCCACCCGCCGCAACTATAGCGCTGGCGCCAGACGACGGCTCCACTAAGTGAATTTGGAAATAGATCCCCCTGTAGTGATCTCTATCAGGCTTCACCAATGGGTCCACAACCACCTGGTTTGACGGAATACTCCATGTGTGCAGCAATGACACCAAAATCTGGAGCTCCTCAAGACAGATAGTGACACCCGGGCTCAGGGCTCCCTGCCTTCCCTTCAGTTCCGTACGCAGCTGGGGGAGGACAATGTCAGGATCTCCTGAACAGCACATTGACGTGGGAACTGTGAATTCTGCCAGGAATGTGCACACCGTCAGCGTATGGGCAACTGGTTGTAGTCTAACATTAGCTTCACTCATGGAAAATAGCATTGCGAGAGATACGTGAGCAATACACAACAAACACTGATTTTCGCGTTGAATCTAACAAGTTGCCCTCTCAGGTTGATGAACGGAGGAGAAGTGTTGGCTGCCACGATGACAGCTATCATGCCAGCATTTCCTGCGAGGAGCTTCTGCCAAAGTCGATTTCGGCTGTGATAGCAACAGACAAAACAGTGGCCACAATTGGTGGCCTCGCGGCCCACAAAGCCAACGCACTGCCGACAACAGTGAGTCTTGGAGCACAGCAAGGGTCACAAGTTTTTCATGTACTTCGAAGTAATACATTGGAATTAAAAAAAAGGGTACCATGTCCACATTGTTTACCCACAATACCTGCAAGCTTGAGGACAAAGCGGCTGCAATGTCGGACAGTGCTGGGGACCAATCCAAGGCCCTCCAATCCCTTTTGCATGGGGTCCCACTTTTGACGGCGATTGGCATGCAATGGGGACACTCGCGACGCCCCAGATACCATCTGAAGCACCGGTGCTTGGAGTTCCTTTGGAAGGGCAATGCGTTTCAAAGCTGCTTGAATAAGCATTGTGTGGCCGAGGCGGACCTCAAAATTGCGCCCCACATCACTTGTTTTCAGGGCATCTACAACCTGTCCATGACACAGAACATCCTCGTCTTGTTGACCATGGAAATCCACATCCGACATACAGTATATTCGTTTGCAAGGACTGCATTACCAGCAAGGGAACGCTCTGGTACCGTTGGCAATTCGGGTCCTGCTGGCTGCCAGAGCCTGAAGGCTGACTTGCCCCTCTGTTGGACTATTCATCGATGTCTCAAGGGCACAGCCAAGCATGCTATGTGCAGTGCGCTGTGAGCAGCCAACTGCAAACATCCACAGAACACAAAACACACGGTGACCAAAGCAAAGCACTTGCCCTTACTGTGAAGCACTCCAATGAATGTGGGATCTGTGTGCACATTCTCCTGAAAAGGTGTCCCAACAGCACCAATTAGGGCCTTCATGGAGCTCAGCACAATATCCCTGGTGAAATAATGTTACCTCCGTGACTGCCTTCAGAACTTCTGCCTCTGCCAAGAGCTTCTCTGACAAAACTTTCCCTTGAAAGACCTTGTCAGACAGCAACTTCTCAGTCACGCTGCAAGAAGGGGCAGTCACGAAGTCCAGGTCCGCTTGCAGGTAGCTCCTTGCCAGCGATATTCCGCTGCCATAGCGGTAAGTGCTGCTGATTTCAAACCTGGACAAGCAATGCACATGAACTGTATGTGCTCAGAAGGAACGTGGCATCCAGCGATGCCCCGTTGTGGTTGCCTGGTCAAGTTCACATCCCCTCAAGGCACCTGATAGTGAGCGAGGGGAAGAAGGTGCACCTGATGTGTCAATGCCCGGTAATGTTGCTACAATGGTATGTTCTAAAGGGGCCAACATGACCTGTGCCGCAATGCTGGGGGCTGGACATCATTGTTCTTCTTTACGAACAATTCATTCTGGATGTGGGCACTGGCCAACAACAGCGTTGAGCAACACCCACCTTCTGAGCCCTTCAATCTGTGCTGTTCCTACACTTGCAGCCCCACCGAGCGTTGCGTCCTGCCCTTTCGTTCTCTGCACCAGCCAGTATGCAAAAGGGACCCGCATGTCGTACCTGAGGGAAAAAATTGTTCCTGATGGGGACAAAAAGCGCACAGCTTCAGGCGGCAGCTGATCATGACACAAACCAACCTGAAACAAACCCAGCACAGGAAGGCTCAGCGCATGGACAGGCTTCCAACACAATTTAGCGACACCTTCAGGGCATAAAAAACCACTTGCCCAATGGCACTGAAGCCCCAAAGCTGTAGGGCAGGGTTCCTTTCTCCTTCCTACTGACCTCGCTGCTGGACATCTGGATCGCTCCATGGGAGGAGAACACCTCATTCACGATGCCCTCCACGGTGTGGCGGGCATCAGTGTCTGTGCCTTCAAGTGCCAAAGGCCCACCAGCAAGGGCCCAGGATGGTGCTTCAATGGTGGTGGACCTGCAACATGCAGCCCAGGTGGTCAGACATGGCACCGAACATAAGGAGGGCTCTCCAAGACGTTAAGTGCCCATCATAGCAATTGATATGCCTAAACTTTGGCAAGTCAGACTGATTACACAGATGCTGTTGCTGACAAATGCCAGCCAGTGAATGTGGAAGTTCTGGAGCTCCAAATTGTATCACTCCTGAGCAAGGGCAATCCGTTGTGAAGCTTGGAGCATGTGGCAGTGACTCTGCAAGCCTAGTCAACCAGGAAATACAACAGAAACGGACAATATGAGTTCCATAAGTGCATGTCTTAGCTTGTTTCAGTGCACTCAGAATCACACTTTTGTCGCTCCACGTGCTGCACATTGCTGCAACTACTTTTCAGCAGAACACAGTGCTTGCTCATACATGTTCGCACAGAAAGACCCATGGCCCGTGTTGCAGAGCAAATGAAAAGGGGGCATGTAGCGAACGGCCAGACACTGGAATATTCATTGTATATTGTGGCAATGGTTGGTTGTGCGGGTGTTTGAACTTGAGTTCGGCTCTTGACTTGGCCACCACAGCACTTTGTGCTTCAAAGTCTGTTCTAAGGCACTTGCACGTCCACCAGCAGACTGGTCTGCAACCCAACTTATATCGCCACATATGGCTGTGTTCTGGCAGATCTCATTCCAATCCTGGCAGAAGCTTATGAATTGGACAGTTGCTTGGCTGGTGGGTGAAAATTTTAAAATTTCAAGCATCAGTTTGTCACTGTGCATGAGCACCGCAATGTCAACAAAGCACAAACCTTGGCAATCCTTGTGCTGAACGAAACACACCATCAATGACCCTGTCATACGTTGCTACATCAGCTTCCATGGATCGAAGCAGGTCCTTGATCTGTTCATCTCCAACTCTTGGGGGCAAGAACTCGCTTCGGAGTACTTCCAGTGCAGAAGGGCGATCACCAGGTAGTGGTGACATCAGCCACCTAATGAGCCGTGCAACCTGCGATCGTAGTCAAGCACAAAATTTTACAACTGTACTTTGAAGCCACCTAAATGAGCAGGCCAGGGTCATGTTGCTTGCATCCAGTCTGGCACACATTCATGGTTGGGGTCTGCAGCTTACAAGTCAAAGAAGACCTGATGCAGTGTGATCAAAGCAGGGAACATATGCTGTGTAAGAAATGACAGCACACAAACACAGCCAATTCCAGCACACCAATGCACAATGCATCCATCACATGATACCCTGCCTATCAGGGACAAAGAAACTGATGCGCCCCATCACAAGAAATGTAGCACTGCACATGCTGTAACCAATTTTCAAATGATTGAGCTGTTGTCTCAACTGTAAGGCCAGAATCGAACAAATGACAGTAAGATGACACCATGGCAGAAAGATGCAGATGAATAGCTGACACACATGTCAGCACTTGCACTGGCTGTTCCGCTGTCCGTCAGAAATCATCGTTACCTGGGGGTTCGCCTGCTCCCAGTCCTGCGGCATTTTGCCCTTCTCCCTCAGATCTCTCAGCAATGTCACACGCTCCATTCCTGTGGAGAAACGGTGCCATAGTTCGAAGACCACAACACCCAGACTGAACATATCCACCTTGTTGTCGTAGTGTGCCCAGTTCTCCTGGATCTCTGGGCTAATATAGAACGAAGTCCCGCACACTCCGGTCATTTCTGATGGGACTGACGACGGTGCTTGACCGTACGGTGAGGAAGGCACATTCTTGTCAAAGTCCAGCCCATCTGGCGCACGTTCGCCCTGGCCAGAAATGAACTTGGCCAAGCCGAAATCTCCCAGCTTTATGTCCCCACCAGGTCCATAGAAAATGTTGGCCGGTTTCAAATCTCGATGGATAATTTTCTGGCCATGAATGTATGCCAAACCAAAGAGGATCTCACGGAGGACCTCCCATCTTGTTTCCTCATCCATCAATTCATTCGAATCTAGAACCTGGCCATGAAACGACGATCAAATCCCATGCTTAGAATGTTGACGTGCTGAGGGTGGAGCCATTTGATGTCTCATCCTCTAGACACTTGTAATGGCATTCTGGGCAGCTACGGGATCTGTGAATACTGTCTGGTTTGGGGCTCAAGAACAGCCATGCAACTGCAATTTTGCAACCAAGTCTGGACACGGAATGAAGGGCAACACACAAAAAAGCAACTGTTGCCACAACGGTGGTGTTGCATGAGCTGTAAGTGCACCACTTCAACTAGCAAAGGGGCTGCAGCTGAGCACCTGTTGAAGTGTCCTGCTGCAGTACTCCATTTGAATGTACAACATCTGGTATGACTCGCTGTCCCTTCTTCCCTTCTTCGATTTTGTCTGGCTGGTGTCTCCCTTCCCCTGAGAAGCTGTCCATTGTGTTCTGCTCGGCACCCGTGGACCAAATGTAAATGCACTGTTGCCTTCTTTGGTGCAGCGATCTGTGCTTGGGGTATCAATCTGCAAGCACAAAATATATCAATTATACACAGACAGCAATGCTCACTTGAGATCAGCCTGACAATGGTATCAAACCTCACAAAACACATTGCCAGCACAACATGATGTTGAGCAGTCGATCATGTTCTTTGATTCTTTCACTGTACTTACACTCTTTCCACTAGCTATCAGGCAGCAAAGCATGACCATTTCCAGTTCGGATTTTCTTCGCCTCGCCCGCACTCCTTTCCCCTTGAAGGAGAAATGCAGCTGAAAATTCAGCAGCTGCCGACAGCAAGCACATGCCGACTGATGAGGGTATGACAGCAGACGTTCTGCTACCTGAAAAGAAGAAGATGAAGCTGATTCAAATGACGAGTGGCGGCCCTCTTCGCTGCCCTCTCGCACTGGCATCAGAGCAGCACTCTCTGGCTGTTGACTCAGCGGCAGTGCCTTTCCTGCCCGTGGTGACACTTTCTGACTCTGGAGCCAATCACTGGTGTCACGGCTGCTATCTGTGTCTAAATCAGGGGCGTCGCCAGGGGTGTATGGCTCAAACCATGCCTAGAACAACAAGAATACAGCATCAGAAACCACACTTGATGGTTGCACTCATACTGTCATGCAGTCTTCCGCAGTGTATACAAAGATTGTCAAAGAACTTGTCCTGGGCGATGCACATTGTGCAGTCGGCTTTCTGCCTGCAACAAAGAATCTTCACATCAGTAGGTCAAAATCGCAAACACTTCGATTGGAACAGAGCGACCGGCATACCTGAAAATACCGTACAACATGAGGATGCTGCAGCCTGGACAGTGTGGCTACCTCCCTCACGATTCCTGAAGGCAACGTTGCAACAAAGAGGGTGCATCTCAGCACGGTCTTGGCTTGTGCCCCACATAGCCACATTGCTCAAAAGATCTTGGGTGTACAGCCTGAGAACAAGTTGGCCCTGATGCACAAAAGGGATTGAAGGTACTGAAATGCGATGTCTTGAACAAGACAGCCACAGCTGGCAATGGAACAATAATTGACATTGGCCACGGTGGATGTGCCGCAGTAGACATTGCGGTCTAACAGGCAACCAGTGCTGTGAGCTGGCCGTACGAGTGTAGCTCTGCTCGGTCTTTGATATCAGCTTCACTTTCTTCACTGCATACGTCCTTCCATCCAGACCATGAATTGCTGACACAACGACACCAAATCCGCCCTGGCCAACTCGTTTGACCTCTTCGAAGTCCGTTCGATACCTGAAGTCAGACAAGGCATACAGCATGGGATCAGCTTGCAGGAGGTGACATTTGGCTGTTGAAGCAAGACTGTTGTATGTCCTTGCTGCTTGCTTCCAACTCCCCCCGTTTCCTTCGCTCTGCCGCTTTCCAGAGCATGTGCACTGGTAGTGTTTCTCGCTTTTTCCTTGTTGGTTCTTCCCATCCCACAGTTTGTAAGGTACTCTTTAGAGTTTCATTGCTGTTCTCTTCGTGTTGTGCAAATGAACAGTATGTGGCACTATGATACAGGGAATTGATCAAGATCTGTCCAGATGTTTCTGCACACTTAAAAGGTGCAAGACCTACATTTCCTGACAGGTGCGATCTCTGATACTGATGTTTGCATCCGATTGCATTGCAGACAATAGCAACACCAACGCATGCTGCCAGAAGCAAGACATGTGAGTTGAATGATGGAGTTAGGAGAACTCACCTGGAGGTAACAGTAGCAAGCCTTCCACCATCTGGTTGACACTGCCAAAAGCGGCGCAGAACCTCCCATGATGATGCATCAGCCAAATTCCTACCCGTGGTGGCTTCATCGATTTCCTGGTCGCATCGAACACACAGTCAAACAGAGACCCAATACTGTGGAAAAGATCTGGCACCCATCGGTAGATTCTCAAAAGCTAGGTTTGATGCTAAATGAGAAAGGGGCCAGCTTGCATTGCACAACCCTCCAATGTTACAACGGCGCTGGCATCACTTACTTGTTCCATCAAATGGCACAATGGTGTCAAAGGGTATTGAATGCATTGCACCAGAGCTGGAAAATGGCAAAAGGATAGGTACCTTGCGGAAAAGTTGCATGAACGCACGCTCAAAAATAGAAGGCTTTTGTGCAAGAATCCAGGAGAGCCACTTTGGTATAAGCCCCTTTGCTTGTAGATGACCAGCCACCGACGGCAGAGGATGGAAAGGGACACCTTTGCTCAACCCTGGCACTGACAATCTCAGAAGGTGGCCCATCATGAGTTCGTGGCGTATCCGTTCATGGGCCCCATCTTCATAGTCTTCCTCCTGTCCTGTGTATTGTCCCATCTGTTTGTGCACAGATGCCATATTTGACACTCCCATCAATCTCAACAGGGCCCTGGAGCAACACATCAGCCAGTGTGGGCAACAAGAGCCAGACCAAACTCCTGTGCTCATCCTGCATGCTCCTTACTGTAGCATGCAGCGGTGATACCTTGCTCTTAGTATTGAACATCCTGCCACCAATTAACCATGGTACAAACTTGCTGATGCCGCAACTATTCTCCCCACCCCTGGTAGGGTCGCCAATAACACACCGCAATAGCAGCACACCACCAACACCTTTGATGTGATGTGCAGTGCTGGGTGCAGCCAGACTCAACAGCATAAACACACCCTTGAAGTACAAACTTCTGACTTGTCTGCGCGCCTTTGGGCAAGGCGCCCGGTGCATTCAATCGTCCACCACCTAACAGCCTTCCTGCGATTGCCGAACACGAGAGACGAGTAGGGAAAGGCTTCTAGCAGTTTGCCATGATGTCAATTTGGTTCTTTGCCCTATGAGAGGTGATCGGATTTTGTGCATTCTCCATAGGCACTTCAGTCTGCTTTGCCTTGCACACGCAAGTTCTATGTCGTGTCCCTTTTGGACAAATGAAATCAAAAGATACATACCAGAGGCAGATAAAAGGTGGGGCGCATACCCAGGTAAAGGCAGGACTCGATCCATCACGCCTTGGACAATGCTCAACATGCTACGGGAGAAAGACTGTGGGCTCGTGCATGCTGATGACGATGCCTCAGAGCTGCCATCACGTTCAGCCGCACAAGCCCTGTCGGGTGCTTCCTTGGTTTCCCCAACAACATCCTCTTGCATCCAACGGGCTTTGGTATTTTGCTCATTCTTTGCGTGATCCTGCTCTGCCTCACTGTTGGGTACAACAGACACTTCAGGCGATGGCTCACTTGAACTCGGCCCAGCAGATGATGGCATGTCCCCAGTGCTCTTACGACCTTTCAGCACTTCATGCTTTCCCTTGGACATACCAGGGGCAGAAACAAAGAAATTTCACCCATGCGCATACTCCTGCAATCCTGTTCTGTGAAGTCGGCATGCCAACCTGCTTCTGGGCAACAATTGACCAACCACAATGTGCCACAAGGACAAATTGCGGCTGTCTCTAGTCACTGAAGATTGCAAGCAGCAAGGTACAAGTGCACTGGACCATTTGTTGTAGACGACAATGCTTCGCAGCACTGACCTTCCCAGCATTGACCGGCAGAGGAAATGGATCAACTCCTTCGTCGGCAAATAGCGAGTCGTCACAGTCACCCCAAATGTCTTCCACCAGCATGCCAGAACCTCCAAAATCGCCATCAAGCAGTTCATCTCCAGCTGCTCGCCGTTGCATGTCATCCCACAGGCTTGTGCCCTATTAAGCATGAACAAAATTTTCATACCTGCCCATGGTTTGATTGACTTGAGCATGGCTGACATGCGTTCAGTGGTGGCAACTATTCACACTGTTTAACTGTCTTGTACAAAACAAAATTCAGAAACACTTACAACGCTGGGAAGTCTCATAGCTGCCATGATGAAATCAGAGCCACTCCATATTGTGGCTCTTAAGAAATTGGATCAAACTATATATCCTTGTAATGACACAGAATCTCTCTGGTTTGTTGGTCTCTGGGAAGCCATCACAAACCCAGCAACTGTCCAGACATAGCTATCAGTCGGCTCAGAGTACACGTACCCAGTCAGGTTTGAGCTGTCAAGCAGTGGAAAGGATGCACAAGCTCAATGCTTTGCAACACACAGTTGCCAATACATTTATCAAATCACTGCCCTGGCACCATTTAGGTCAAAACAGCTGGCCCAAACAAGCTCCTTGCCCTGAACACTATGTAGCTACACACTGTTGCCACTCACATAAGTCTAGAGAGTTGCCTTCCCTCACCAGCTGCTTGCCCCTCTCTTCACCCTGATCTTCATTGTGTCCTCTTAAGAACTCCTGGCAGGCCTCCACCAAAGTAAAAGTGTAGACCTGTGAGTCATTTGTCTGCTCGGCTGCTCGTTCAGACAGCAGCTCTGACAGCTTTTGGACGTCATCAGCAGATAACCCCTCAGGCTGTACAATGTCCAGCTCGGGGGGAACTCTTGGGTACTGCCCACCATACCTGGTCGTACACCACAACAGGCCAAAGATTACTGTCTTCACACATAATTCAAAGAAACGAAAGCTGGCGTACAAGGCGTCCTCACCTTCCAAACAAAAAGGCATGCAACACAGTTGTCCATTCTGTGGAAGATAATACAGAAGTTTCCTGTGGTGACAAGACCAATGTGCAACGTCAAAACAATTCCTTATGCATGGACATGAACTGAAATGAGAAGGTTTCTGAGAGTTGTGGAGGGGATTATTTTAGTCTGGTGCTTGTGTCAGAGACATGAAAGGCCCATGGCCCAAACAAGCCCCCCTTCCTCACCTCACTTTCAGCACTGCAGAGACGTAGTTCTCTTCAGCATCTCCTGGATGGGGTACCACCCGGAGGTTGAAGCCCCGGCCGTCCTCATGCAAGTCAAAATCGTCGATGTAAATAGCTTTCAGCGCCTCAACCTCCTCCTCAACACTCGAGTCCAGTTTCTGGGCAGGTTTCTTGGGAATTTTTCTTCTTTTCTTGTTTTTCTTTGGCATTTTTGCTCAGAGTTTGGCCCCTGTACAAGACCTGCCTGGAAGGGAAACAGTTTCAGACGCTGTGCCACGCTGCACAGTATTGCAATCTGAACTGGGCAAAAATACGAGCGACGGGAGGCACCAACATCTCACCGCCGCCGGGGTTGGCCGCTTCAGCAGGGTGTCCTTGGTCGCGCTTTCCAGCGCAAGATGTGGACCCGGAAGGGTCCCTGAGTACGGCGGAGGGGACAAGGTCCCACAGCGGAGCACCGATGGACCCAAATGAAGCGAGTGAAAGACTTCTATGCCACCCGCACATGTGCTTGTCCGCCAATGTGTGCGTTCGACCTCATCCAGAAATGGGCAGAGGTTGGCCAATCCCAGTAAGAACGCCAACCCTGTCCGCAAGTTGGGCTCCTGCAGCCACACCCTGCAGCTGCAGGCTGTATTTTGCTTGTCGTTCGGGCGTTGCGACGATGGATGAGCAACAATGTGTGTTGGGCTGCTGACAAGGCGCCACAGTCGCATCGCAGCATTGCACTGAGTCATGTTGGCAATTTCCTTCCGTTCAGGGCGGCTGTAGAGGACAACCACTGCGCTGGCTGGATCACCAATGACCAAGAGTTGCCAGCCACCTCTGCCATACACGTGAGTGGCTGCCTGGGATGCCCCGAGCATGCCTACACGGCAGATTTGAGGAACACACACTGTCCCACCTAGTTGCGGGGATATAGGCAAGCAGCCGTCTACTGAAATCACGTAAAACATCTCGCCAATTCGAGGAATCCATCCAGCGGCAAAGGCATTGCACAGTCGCGCTCCTGGGGCTCAGTGCACTGACTCTCAATGGCCCCCTTCGTGTCTGTGCGTCAATCAAATAAGCCAATCTCCACAAATCCGCCATTGACACCCGATCGTGTTGCATACACGCATCGCTCATGCTGGCTGATACTGCAAGTATCATACAGATTATGGTGTCATCTAAGCCCCAAAGGCCACTTACGCATTTACAGAAACTCCTGTAAACAATCAAATGTCTGTAAATCAAGCACAAAAGAAAGCACAAACCAACACCGGAAAGTCAGGAGGAGAAGCGCTCAGCAGGCAGCTGAAGAACGATTCTTGTCTTAGCTTTCTTGAGACGGTTTATCCTTTCTTTTGTGCATTATGCGGTTCAGTTGCAGCCGACATGCTTACATGATGAAGCACTAGGAAAAAAGGGCCAAATAACACGTGTTCAAACGTGTACAAAGTTTACGGGTTTGTGTTATTTTTGTGTTCTTAGCGTGCAGAACTTTGATGAAATGTGTTTTATGTGTGTTCGAAAAAGTGTTATTTAGTCCTTTTTTTGCTAGTGAAGGTAGATGGCTGTCCTTTTCCGTGGGTTCGTCCATTTGGCTGTGCGAAGCCTGGGATGTAGCGTCTGTCGTGTTCCAACCATTTCTCTGCACATAGCTGCTATGTAGGTGCAACGCCAGATACTGGATCTGAATAAAATGGCTACTCTTGGAAAGCGCGTGCTGTTATCAACGTGGTGCGCACGGCAGCGGGTCTGTACGTCCTGCTAGATTTGTGATGTGCCTTGCTGGTCGCAACCGATGCGAAAACAGGACTGAAAAGTAGTTGGCAATTCCCTTGACGGCCACAGAAAGGGCATTGACGATGGCAAATATCGTATACTTCGCCATGCAAGGAAATTGTGGACTGATAAGTGCATGGTTGCAAAAATGCTCGGAAGGGGGCTTACCGGTGTATCTGGTGATGGTGAGGGGCCTGTAAAAAAAGTTGTGAGTCTACCGATGGCATGACGACAGCACGTGATAAGGTGCCCTTGGCCGTATGCGCCAGCTGCCCATTCTCGCAGTGTGCAAGTCGTCGCTTCCATGGACTCCAGCGGTCTTCTTGTAGACGCCATTGGTTCAATATGGAATACGGGAACAGGGGCGACGCAGCAAATGAATGCCAGCTAGTACCCCAACGGCGGTACAACTGGGCAACACTGGTGGTTCACAAACTTGCGCGGCACAATAACGCAAGGCAAGGCAGTGCGCTTGCACAATTGTGTGTCGCCTCTCGTTGAGTTTGTTTTAGCTTTACCTTCCTCTTCGTAGTTTCAAATATTGAAAAAAAAGCATTCTGTGAGCTCGGCCATGGCTAGAGAGGTGGTGCATCTTGAGGGTGTTTGCACAGTGCTCCTCGTATTTCACAACCCCAAACGTTTCTTGGGCAATGCAAGTGTGCCACTTGGAACGCGGAACAGGTGCTTACCTATAACGGTACTGGATGTGAACAACTGGTGCATGGGTGCAGCAGTTTTCCTGGACGAAGGTGATGGCCCCGGAGCTAATGGCTGGCAGTACCGCTCTGCCTCATCGCATCTCTTGCGTGCATTGCAAGCAGGGGCCCAACGGGTAGAGGAGAGTAGAGGGCAAAACCATAATAAACTTTGCTTTGGTTAACAATGCACTTTCTCTTTGTCTCCTAAATTCGGGAAACGAAGACATAGACAACTATTCGGGTCGCCAATAATGGGACTCATTAGCAAAATCGTTATCTTATTGATACTGCTCAGTGGGCGACCTGTGTGGTCCAGAAATGCTGGAAAGAGAGTGTCGACAGCCTCAGAATCTTCACTAATTTGATCATCATTCAACAGGCTGGTGCACAATGAGGCAGAAAGGCCCCAAGATCATCAATCAAGTGTGCTTCAGAAGGGGTGGTTACATTTAGTAAGCTAGTTTACGGGAGGCCCGAAGATGGGCGGGCGAAAAAATTGCTGCCCCGACTGTGTCCTGTCAGCGGGGCGCCCAGTTTGGGTGGGAACAGTCTGGTTCTGGGCCCCCAAGGGCAGCCACGGTCCTTGGGGCCAGTTTTGGCTTGATCGGGGCCTGTTACCGGCGGCGCCGAGGCCTTAGGAGGCGATGCGCCGTCAGGCTGCACTTTGTTTTCTCGCTCCAACCGCTCCTGGTTGCAGCGAGCCCGGTCCCAATCGGGAACATTGCTTCGATCCTTCGAAAGGATCTATTGCGCCGAGCCTCCGGCTCGTGTTTTGCACCACTTTCGGAGCTCTCCAGCTATCGCCTCGCTCCCCATGCCCGAGGAGCCCACCCTCAGCCCCGAGGCTTTGGTGGCGGCGCTCCAATCTCTCCTTACTCGGTCTGCCGGGGCCTCCTCCTCCTCGGCCCCCGCGGAACCCCAGACGGCCGAGGCGATCGCGGCCGCGGCCGCTAAAGACTCGTCCCGTAGCCTTGCGGCATTGGCCCAGCACTTCGGGGCCCCACAAGATCTCCCGCTCTCCCAGCTCTTGGTCCTCCGCTCGGGCGCCAACATCGACCCCTCTCCGCAGAATCCGGTGCCTCAGCCCCCCGTGGAGTTCGGCTAGTGGTTCGACGTCCTCGACACCGCCGACGGACAACATTTGGCCCAGGCCTTGGGCCCCCGATCAGGCTACTTCGCGGAGTATGCAAATTGGGCACCGATCATCTCATTTTACTACGATCTGCAGCTCCGCCTCATCGCCTTGTCGGCGTGCCCGGAGGTCCCCGCCGCCGTCCGTGCTGCCCTCGAGCCCCTCGTCTCCCTCTATGCAAAGTGCACCAACCTAGCGGTCTCTACCTTGGTGGTTCGGCGGACGCAGGCGGCCCACGCGAATACTCCCCTCTCTGAGGCGTATAAGTCGCTCCAAACCAACATCCAGTTGGCGGGATCGGCGGCACGCTACACCACCGACCTCAAGGGCGAGACGACCAACCTGATCCATGCCCAAATCCAGAAGGCTACGGTCAAGGCGCAGGCGGACGGCACCGCCCGGGCCCGCCATTCAAGCCGCGGTTCCGACCGCTCTGGCTCCCATTCGGACGGGGCCTCGGGGTCCGGTCCCTGTGGTCGCTTGTGCGGCCGCGGTCACGGGCCCGGTCGGGGCCGGGGTGCGCCCCCTGCCTCGGGCAACTCCTTTGCCGATTCATGAGCTCCGAGCGGGAGCTCCTTGCCATCGCTGCGGCCTTGCGCCAGCTGCGTGTTGGCGGCGGCAATGCCCCCCGGCAACGATCCTGCCCCCCCGAGGGGGGTCCTCCGGCCGGAGGCTCTGCCACCCCACCCATCCCCCGGGGAATGGGGCGCTTCATCTTCAACCCCGTTGGGCGATCGGCGTTTGGCACCAACTGGGTGCCTCCTCCCTCATCCTTTGTTGGATCCGGGAGGGTGTCCCGGTTGTTTGGACGGGTCATCCGCCGGCCCCGTTCTATCACGGGGTGTGCCGGCTTGCGGGGGCTGCACTCACGGCGTGGGAGGCGCTGCGCGACACTTACCTCCAGACGGGCGCCCTCCGCCGCTCCCGCAGCCCCCCGACCCATGTCTCCCGTGCTTTCCTTGTTCCGAAGAAGGACGGCGGCTTCCGCTTGGTGGCGGACCTGCGTTACATCAACAGCCATACGAGCAAGATCAGCACCAAGTTCGAGACTCTCCGCTCCTTTCTCCCCGCCTTCCGGCCGGGTCAGTTCCTTGTAGCATGGGATATCCGCGACGCATTCCATCATCTCCAGATCGAGGACCGCTCTGTGTCCTTCTTTTGATTTCAGATCAACGAGGAGCTGTTCGAGGCCCCTGGGTTGACCTTTGGGTGGAAGAATTCCCCCCCCGTCTTCACCAAGCTGATGCGCCCGGTGGTGGTGTTTCTCTGCGCCCCCCGCACGAGCGCCCCCCGTCGCCCCCCCCCTCCTGCCCTCGCGGCCTACTGGGATGCAAACCCTGCCCCCACGCTCTCGCCCTATATGGACGACTTTGCGGGGGGCCTGCGGGGCCGCTCGGCGACGAGGACATGGGGGATGCGCGTTCGGAGCATTCTTTCAGCTCTGGGCCTGACGATCAAGCCGTCCAAGTGCACATGGGAGCCTACCCAGGTGCTGCCTCACCTCGGGGTCATCCTGGATACCAAGGCGGGGCTGATCATTGCCCCTCCCGCCAAGGTCGCGGCCATCCGCGCGGAGGCGTCCGCCCTCTTGGCTCGCCACTGGCAACCGATCCCGGCCAGGCTGCTCGCCCGATTCTGTGGCCGGGGTTAGAGCCTATCGCTCCCGGCGCCCTCCGCCCGGTTCTTTCTCCGGAGCCTTTACAACGACCTGGCGACGAAGACCAGCTGGCGGGGGACTCTCCGCCTTTGTCGCCAGTCGCTGCGGGACCTGGCGTTCTGGGCCCGTTTGGGTCCCAAGACGTCCACGTCAGTCCTATGGCACCCGCCGGCGATGGCAACTCTACATACGGACAGCTCCCCCTACGGTTGGGGAGCTTCGCTGGTCCTACCCTCCCAGGGCCCGACCCCTGTTCTGGCGCGGGGTTTCTGGCCCCTGCCCGACCGCGCCTTGCACATAAACGTGCTCGAGATGCAAGCGGTGGGCCTGGCACTGCAATCGTTCCACCAGAGGATTGTGGGCCTGCGGATCAACCTCTACACCGACTCCATGGTCGTCAAATGCGTCCTTGACGCGGGGACCTCCTTCTCGACGCCCCTCATGGACTCCCTTCGGCAGGTCCATTACCTCGCCTCGGCCCTCTGTCTCTCGATCAACCCGGTCTGGCTACCCACCGAGTCCAACCTGCTGGCGGATGCCTTGAGTCGGATGCGGGACACGGAGGATTGGGCCCTCCATCCGCGGGCGTTTCAGGCGCTCTACCGAACTTGGGGCCCCTTCACCATCGACCGCTTCGCGACCACCACCAACTACCTGGTGCCGACCTTCAACAGCCGATGGTGGTGCCCGATGACGAGCGGCATCGATGCCTTCGCCCAGACCGACTGGGGGCTACACAACAATTGGTGCAACCCCCCATTCTCCCTCCTCCATCGCTTGGTGAGCCTTCTGGAATCCCTGCCCCGGGTGCGCGCCACCGTGTTGGCCCCAATCTGGCCGGCTGCGCCTTGGTTCCGGCGCCTTCTTGTACTCGCCGACGCGACTTGGAAACTCCCGGTGACCCCCGATCTCTTCATGGCAGGGCGGACGGGCACCTCCTTAGGCCCCCTACGGTGGCGGGTTCTGGCGGTTCGAATCGATCGTTGCGGTTCTCCCCGCCGGGCCTCCCCCTCCCCTTGCCACCATGCTCGGACTTAACGGCCTCCATTCTGTGCGGCCTGTTTTCCATTACCGACTTCTCGGTGGAGCTTCCGCGGCTCCGCCTCGAGGAGCGGCTGGCCGTCATGCAGTCGATGGTGGAGGCCAACGCCCCGTCGGGCCGCGAGGCTATTTGGCGCAAGTTCCAAAAATTCGCCCGCATGTGCACCGCCCGCGGATGGCGGGCCCTCCCGACCTCGCCCGAGATGCTCTACGCCTTTGTGCTCTTTTTAAAGGCCGAGGGCCGGGTATCCGTGGACTCGGCCGGGAGCTACCTCTCTGCCATCTCTACGGTCAGTGCGTGGGCGGGCCTGGCGGGGGGCTCCGCTCATGACGCCATTATTGTCCGCCTCTTGCGGGCCTGGCGCGTCAACGCCCCTCCGGCGGCCTACCGCGACTCCGTCCTCGCTTTTCCGGCAGAGGACCTCTTCCGGTTGGCTACCATGGCGCTGGCCGAGCCCAATCCTTATCGGGTTCGGACTTTTGTGTCCCTCATCCTGGACACTGTTTTCTTTTCGCGGGCGGACTCCGGTTTCCATATTCTCATGGATGACCTCTGGCTCGGCAACCCCGCGGGCGACTCTACCACTTCCTGCCCCACGCATCTCTTATTTCGTGAGTAGCGCCACAAGTCCAAGTCCACCAGGGCCCTCCTCTGGTGCATTCGGGCCTTCGACTACCGCGGCTTCCCCGACCTGGCGCGGGTCGTCCGTCATTGGATTCGCCTTCACGATGCTTGCCGGGCCCAATACCTTCCGGGCCGCCGCGGCCATATCGAGTTCTTCTACGGCCTTCCCTCCGATCCCCCCTTCCGTCCGTGCCATCCAGGCCTGGTTCCTCGAGGCCGCCCGGCACCTCACTTCGGCGGGGCAGGACTACCGCCACCACTGCGTACAGCGTACGGGGGCGTCCTCCGCGTTTGCCGTCCTGGTGCCTGAGGCCCAGGTCCGTAATTGGGGGTGGTGGGCCCCGGGGTCCGCGGCTTTATGGAAGTACGTGGATTTGCAATGGCGGCCTACGGAGTATGACTACCGTCTTTTTGGCTGGATGCTTGTCGCGGCTGACTCCATTCGCGACGAGATTCGTGACATCTTCTCCGCGCCGTCTCCTCCTACTGTCCCGTCACTTTGATGGGGGTTTTCTTTCGTTCCCCTTGTACTTTCCGGCCCTGTACTTTCTGGCGCTTGGCGCACGGGTCATATTGTTTGGAGGTGGGCACTCTTTGGATTGCGGGTGATATACCCGAATTTGGATACATGGACAAATACGTGTTTCTGTGGGATGGTGACGAATTGGTGTTTGTTGGAATTGGATCAGGTGGACATTTGTCACGGTTGTGACGTTCTGAATATGTAATTGTAATTACATGTTCAGCCTGCCATTGGGCGGGAAGATCGCAGGGCTGTACCGTAATTGTCTAGTAATCACAGACCGCAGGATCGGAATGGGATGCATCGTCTTTGTGACGGCCTTGTCAAAAGCCGGCCTGGCGCGCAGAGTCAGCAGCACGCTCTCAGTACACACCAGGTGCAGCAGCGCAGATAGAGTGCACCCAAGCATGGCGGCACTCCTGTCGCGAAGGGTGGAAACTAGACAGAGGCGGGAGGGGCGATGTTGCTGAGGTAGCGGGAGCTGCGCTCCGGCGTGTTCGTGTGCACGAACCGCATTCATTCCCCGCGTAGAAACAAGCAGAAGAGCCGCAGTGAGGTGTGAATGCTCTCGTAGATGCAATGCGCCCATGCCATTCACTTACTTGGCATGTTTTGGATCAGCCGTTTTATATCATTCACCATCCCGCTTCGTTTCCTGTTGTCGCTCACCGATCCCCACGTTGTGAGCTTTGGTCGGTGCAGGCGAGCAAGCTGAGTGAATCGACTCTGTTACTCAATGTGGACCAGAAGGTTCCTTCGTGAAGTCTGCGATCGCTTTTCCATGGTGGCTGCAAAAGGAGATTCCCATGCGCCGAGCTGGCGATCCGATTGGAGTCGCCTTTGTGCAGCGGGCCTCGCAAGCGGGGACCCCTTTTGGGCCACCTCGATATCTGGCCGCGCATTGGAACACCGCCGCCTGGCCAACAACAACTACGTGAGTATTCGCTGGATATTTTGTGCAGCGCTCGTCCGCAGATGATCCCACCATGCACTGTTGCCTTGGGATGAGCACTTGGGCTTCCTAGTTCAAAGCCCTTTTTGCACAGCGGAGGAGGAAAAATAGGTTTGCAAGAGGACATATGATAGGAATGCTGCAAGGAATGTTAGAGGACATGTATGGAGAAACTGCTCTGGCACCTGGATGTGAGGCCACCAATAAGTTTCCAACATTTGTGAAATGGATGCAGCAGGTGGCCAGCTTACTGTTGTGCTTTTTGTCTTGATTTCTGGTCTGATGATTTCCATGGCCCATTGCATGTGGCCATTTGCAGTGGCAGGGTCTGCACACAGTGGCCCATGAACCGTTGCTGTGGGCTCATGCAGCCATGGAAGGGAAGCTTGCCTGCAGGGGCCACAAGCTGTCACATCTTGGAGTTGGGGATGGTCCAGACCCCAGCCCTTTGCTGGCAGCATTCAAGGCAGTGCGGGACCTATCAACACAAGGTGGAGATGGAAACCAAAGGCAGTGGGCGGAGCTCACAACGGTGCTTGTCGAACTCGTTGACGAAATGGGGCCAAGCGAAATAGCAAATGTGTTTTGCTACTGCCGACGTGGCCAATTTGTTCATCCAGTTTTGCTCAGTCGATTGGCTGCCAGCATTACGCCAGAAGTCAACATTAGAAGACTGAAATGCCATCACTTGAGCATGCTCATGCACTCTTTAGGAGTATTATTTCGAGACAAGTTGCTTTTACGCACTGAGGGCCCACTACCCAAGGGACAGGAGGTGTTCCCAGGGCAAGAGGCTTTGGCCTGGAGTTTATTGCGTGAGAGTATCAAGCCTGATAGGTTATGCCGATTCGATGAGCAAGGCTTGTCCAATGTAGTTTATGGAATTGCCTTGCTAGGCCTACACAGAAATACAAGTCTGCAGCCTGAGGTGGAATTTGCCAACGACAGCCTTTCAAGAGAGGTTTGCAGGGACCAGCGCATGAACAAATTCAATTGCCAGGATTTGTCAAACATTGTTTATGCCTGGGGTTTGATGGGCTATGCTGACTTGACTGGCTTGGAAGTGCTGGGCCTAGAGATATCAAGACCACAACGTTTGCAGTCATTCTCGGAGCAGCAAATTGCAAATATCATATGGGGCTGTGCCTCTCTGGAGTCTGTTGTGCATCCGAATCCAAAGAGCAGCAGGTCCATCGTGTTCCCAGCCTTTTTTGAGGAAATTGCAAAGTCTCAGCGATTGAAACGCTTCAATGAGCAGGGTTTGTCCATGGTCATGTGGTCTTTTGCAAGGTTGATGTCCAGCCACGAAATTCCGCCCAGTGTTTGTGACTGTGTGGTTAAGGAGTTGACAAGAGCGGACAGGTTAAAGAAGTGCCGAGAGCAAGGGATAGCAAACACAGTATGGGCAATGGGCAAATTAGGATTGTTGAATGGAGGTGCTGTTGAAGCGTTGCTGCTAGAGGCAACGCAAGCAGCGAGGATGCCCAAGTACAAGCCCCAAGAGCTTGCAAATTTGGTACTCGGGGTGGCGCACTTGTGTGATGTCGTAGACTATCAGCAGCTGTTCCAGAGCAAGAAGAATTCGAAACTGGTGGCAGATTTGGCGATAGAGGTAAATAGACCAGAGCGATTGAGTGCATTCAACAACCAAGAAGTGGGGTATCTTTGTTGGGCGTTCAAGAGACTGCAGCGGGTGATCAGCTCTTAGTGATTTTGCACTTTTGTCATGGTCCACTTGACACAGATGATTCACGAGGGCCGCTTGGGAGGTGGATTGGTGGGTGCTGCAGGGGCACAGGGCTGTGATGTTTGGTGCAAGTGATTGATGGGAGCAGAAGCTCACACATCTTCAGCCATTCGTGTTCAGGCGACGCGATTTCTGGCAACTGTGGCCACAGCTGGCGCATTATGGGAGTCAGCAAGGAGCGAGGATTTGCTGTGCTGCTGGCAACAGTCTGGCCCCTCTGCTGTCGACTTCCACCCAATGACGTGAATTGGCCTGGTGTGCTGGCGGGCATTTGACAGGTGATGTGCAATCTCGAAGCCAGGGTGGAAAACACACAACACTGTGTGCAGCATGCACAGCACGAGCACGTGCCCATGGTGGTGGTGATGGGGATTGCATGACGGGGGTGCGAATAAGATCACATGGAGATCTAGATCCAGCAGCCGTAATGTGGTGTAACTCATCGTGAACCTGTCGACCGCACGCAGCCACCGACCTGCACCGGAACCGACCTCCGGGAAGAAAGGCGCCCCCGGCGCCCTGCCCATCCACGTTCCACGTCACGCATCCTATGTGGCCGTCCCCACACAGATCCCAATCAGGCCTCGGCCACCCCTGCACTGTCCCTTTCATGCTCTGACTTTGAATGCCCGCTCCCCAATCCAGAGCAGGGCCAGTCCAGTGCAGCTCGCTGAAATGGCCTGCGTGCTGCCTGTAACATACGAAGCCAAACAGAGCCGGAACTCAGAAACACATATCCATCGATGACGAAAGTGCCGTGCGATTCAAGGCAGCCGTCGGCACGGCGCGCAGGAACTGTGCCAGGCAACGGTGGTCCAGTCCCCATAGAACATCCCACGTCCAAATCCCCGAGTCTGAATCGTGTGCAATGGAAGAACACAACCATTGCTGAGGCACGGCGAAAACAAGGTCAGTCGAAGGTGCGTTGCTAACGGTCGTCGACCGGGGCGTCACACCGCTGGCAATTGTTTCCCCTCCCAGCGAATAAAACATGATGCGCATGCATTTGAAATTCAAATGCATTCAAAGATATTTCCCGTTGTGTTGAGACCCACACAAACATAGATCTGCGCATCTCGCAGACTTATTTGTCGATTGCGATAATGGCCAAATGCCCTATTGGCTGCTGGCATCCAGCGGTCAATGGCCAAAGCCTTGCAATGGTCTTGCAATACCGTGCTGCTCGCCTGGGCGCCTAGCCTCGTCCCTGGCATTGGTTCCATCTGGTCGTGGGCGCGGTCGAGGACGCCACCATAGCTACATTGCGCGAGGACGAGGTCTATGGTGTAAAGCACATGGGGTAGTATGTTTCTCTAGTAATTGGATTACTGGGAGGCTAAAGTATAATGAACAATGCGATTGAATATCTCATATGATAGTAGAGTCCATTAGGAACTCATAGGTTCTTGAACTGCCTCCATTGGGTTAGCGGTAGAGGAGTTATGGTTAGATATATTACCAGTACTTACCCCATCGCCGGAACTGTATTAGGGGATGAGATACTATCGCTAGGCCCATACATTGCATTGTCACGTGATCCCGGTAGAGGCCACCCCCTCAAAGGGGCGACCTCTTATCAGACTGACTTCCATTCTCTCGCCCACTCCGCGCACCCCGCGGCTGCACCCGTGAGCTGCACGGTGCCGCACACCCACTGCGCGCACAGCCACCCCGCGCCTGGCCATCCGCAGGCATGGGCCCATGCTGCGCACCCCGAAGGAATGAGCGCCCCGGACAGCCCGCCGGTCATCTGGCGGAGGAGGCCTACCTGGCCGAATTGGGCGCCGCGGCGGGAGCCTTGCCCGCACATCGGCCGAAAACCACGCCAACGGACTGCAGCTTCTCTTGACCCTCTCAGCAGGTGGAGAGCAGCTTCATGGCATCTGAGGTGGAGCTACCCCTACAGTCGCCCACGATGTTCTGTGGAGTATGATAGCTCCCCAAGAGGCTCACTAGGGTGTCAGAACGCCAGAGCCTGATCTACAGAGGCCAATAGAGTGCCAGTGCACCAAGCTCAGGGCCTTCCGAGAGGGCCAGTGTTAGATTAGGGGGTCGTTCAACTCCAATAGGGCAGTAGGCCAGGAGGTCAGGGGCAAAGAGCTGAGACAAGGATTGTACCGAGCCAGCTTAGACTGTTGTGAAGGGTTATCCCCGCTTAGGGAATCCTGTCTGAGGGGTGAACCTGTTGCGCGGCAGCGCGCAACAGGGGGTGAGAGAGAGCTACCGGTGCGGGCGCTCGAAGGCCATTAAGCCGGGACCCAGCACCGGACCCCAAGTACTACGTACTTGGGGCCACACCCGAGCGCCGGTACCTGGGGGTACCCCAGGTACCGGTGGCCACCGCCCTATAGAGGTGGCCACCCGGATCCGTTAATAGCGGACAGAGGTTAATTTCCGTTAATTTTCCGTTAATTAACGGAAAATAACAAAAAAAGACAAAAAATAACCAAAAATTAGCGGATTTTTGGATTTTTTGGGGATTTTTGGGTTTTTTTCATACTTATAGTTTATGGAATTCGCTATTAGAGAGTATGTTTGTATTTTATTTCAACCTATGTATACTAGATTTTCAACTAGCCGCAGTTGTTGTGAATTTTTGGGTTTTTTTTCGATTTTTTTGATTTTTTTTCGTTTTTTCTGAATTTTTCTCCCTTTTTCTTTAACGAAATTTAACGGACAGCTGATAAAAATTAACGAACCGGATTTAACGGACCGGATAGCACCCTTGAGTGGCCACCTCTA